GTGGACTGTACTATATACGCATAAAATGATAAGACATTGACTGTTTTGCGGTTTATATTTAACCGCTCAACAGTCTATGATAATTCATTTTTTATTGGTTGAACATTGATTCCATTGTCATGAAATTCAACTCTCTTATAATGTGTCAAAAATATTCTGTATAGATTAGAATGTGATCTAACTTTATCTTTTTATTATTGTTACCACTAATACCATATACAATTAATAAAGACTCAAAAATACCGTAACAGTTACTTGTGTTCACTTTGAACAGAAAGTAAAATAGAACGAAAGTTTCATTCACTTAAGGGAAAAACTTGGGCACTATGGTAGAGTATAATTCCGTATTACATATGATATAGCACACAATACAATTTAATGGATGACGTTACGAGCAGAATTTATTGCTCATATTCGTATCAAAGTGGAACATAGAAAGCAGTTAAATACAGATAAAGAACATAAATTGAACAGACTGAAGGAAACTGATAAGTTCTTGGTAATATACATGTTGCAAAGGGAATAATTGTAATCCGATAATAACCAATAAACAATCGTGGATTAAGCTGCTCGATACAACAGGAGATTATGGGCTATCAAGATCACAGATGAAACCGACTCATAAGCAAATATTTGGAAGTTACAGGTTGTGGCTTCTCGTTACAAATTCGGAAAACCCATCCAAAAACGTCATTAATGAGCACCAGTCGGTAATTAAATTTAGAGGTGTATGGGGACTGAATGGTTTCAAGGTGATATTCATCAAGGATTAAAATCGGTTGGAGAACCGTCAAAAACCTGGGAGCGCTGGATAACCATTTCATCCCGATTAGGACTCCTCAGCAGTATGCACCCGCGACCCCACAAGGGGTTGAGCCCAGGGCAGTCAGGCTGTGCGGACAGCACGTCACCATTCCGTCACTGTGTCGCAATCCAATGGTTAAGTACTCACAAATGGTTGGAAGTCAAATTTAGTGACCATTAGGTCGGTAGATGCTTACACATTCATCACCTAAACTGCCAGACCTCAGTGCTGCATCGACTGCCATGAGTTTCACCTAGTTTTCTTGTAACTAACTGACATAAGCGAAACCCTTGCTGACTAAAATGAAATTCAGATTGGTCAGGATATGGATCGCATAGCTCAGTTGACACGGTGCCACACTGGTCAACCGGAGGCCTGTGATTCGGTCCAGAGACAACTCAATTTTTTAGCAATTTAATCTATGAAATAAGAAATTAAATTGGCACAGACAATATTGTACATTATAGTAACATCAACTAACTAAAGTAAGGCTTTTCGTAAACACTTCTATTCTTTCTGAGGTAAAAGACATTCCAACTTTTTGCAAATGTCACATTCCAAATGCAAAGAAATCTACCTATTTATAATAGCCACAAAGTATAAAGAAAATATTGTGTTTTATCTTACATGGTGTCATCTTTAAAAACGTTTTTGGTCTAAAGATGAAAGACATGTTACGATAGTATAACATCTTGGATATTAGGTTGGTATTTACCATGGACTGACATCAGTTGGAGAAACATTGGAAAACTGGGAGCAATGAACAGCTTTCTCGTCCTAGTATAGGACTCCCCAGCAATACGCTCCCATGACCCCACCAGGTATCGAACCCAGGACCTTCAGACTCCATGGCCAACATGTTACCAATGAGCCACTGGGTCGAAACTCGGAGAACCCTGATCTCCAATGTTTCTCCAACTAATGTCAGTCCACGATGAATACCAACCTGAAATCAATAAATCCCTATAAACCTTCTAATTGAATCTTGGATATTTAGGAAAAACTTTGAAATAACCAATCCTAATGTACTTCAGTAGGTTCTGGGTACACAGTTTAACCTTATCATCAGTTTGGCAGTTGTTTTGATACATGTTCTTTATTTATGGTAGCATCATTAGCTGTATCATACCAGTAACTTAATCAGGTATCTTCATGAGTCACTATCCGAAGTGAGAATGACAGTTATAGTTGTGGAATTTCCACCCATGGTGAAACTCCAATTAAGAGGTCTCAATGCCGTTCACTTGGTACCGCTTGCTTTAGTACCACGTTTCAACAGTCCACCAAAAAAACTGGTCAAACTTTTGATGGTTTAAGTGACAAAGCCGTCTACAACTCACTAATTTGCTTACATGTACATGGGTGTAAGCACCTTTTAATAACTAGAACAGCTCATCTCGGTTAGTGATCTCTGTCAATAGGTGCTAGTAGTTTCCAGTTACCTACACAGTTCTTTAGTACTCTACAGATGTTGATATTATCTTTATCTTTTGCTGACCTACAAAGCTATGTACCAATATGAAATGTGATGACTTCGACTGTTACATAATGAGGCTCTGTGTTATACTGTTAGTGTCAAAATATCATTAAATTGTCGTTGATACCCACAATTATTCAACCTCAGCATTATCGTTGCTTAGCGTCAATGAAGAAAATACCATCAACGTTCTTGCCCGTAAAGAAAGCTCCTGAAAGTCAAGCATCATCTTCAAAAAGGCACTTTCCTATTTGACTTGTACCCAGGAATAATCAAAGTAATACCATGTTCAGTCTTGAAAAAAAACACCAAATGCAGTAATTTTTATCATTGAAGTAAAATAGTTTTTCAGCTGACTAGTCATATGCAACAAGATGAAATCTAGCAAAAAGAAGAAAGCAGAAAGAAGAAATCATGGAAGTAGAATCATATTGAGATGGACAAGATGGATGTAAAAGGAACAATTATATGTTTAAGATTCCAAGTGGAACAAATAACAACTACACTCACCACTACCATGATCATTTTCAAACCTTATCAATGACGGTTGATAGCTATAAATTCCTAATATTTTGTGAACTTCTCCCCACCATCCAGACAAATAGTAAATGGGTTTATACATCACTGTTATGTCTAGATTTGGTCACTGTTAATCTACCTCTAACCAAGTCTTCTTTCAACCAGAATCCTACCCTGCAGTAAGCGATAGTGCATTATGCATGACACAGACTGACATCTGTCAGTTAGCAAAATCCTCAACTGAATTTTTTACATTGTTCAAACTCACCACTGATAAATTAATGATTCTGTTCAAGGTTGGATACATTTCAAACAAACATTAACTGGTAAGATGCTATGCGTCAGCTAAAAGTTCTCTCCACTTCAGTATAATCCAACTAACATAGACCATTAAAAATTTTTATCAGTCGTTGAAAAAAACATCCCAACCGCAGTAGTAACTCTTCACATGAATCATAATGCTGAATGTTATGATTCTTAAATTACATGTGGACTTTACCGTAGCGTAACACATCATATGTTCAACAGGAAAAGAAATTTGTTAAGTGTTCAATACATTTACTGTGTAACATGTTAAACATTGCTCTTTCCCATTCATTTCTAAAATGGTACCGATTTATTTCTTAACGCTGTTCTGCGGCACAAGTCACTTTGACAAAATTATTTACCTCTATTGACTTATCATAATACTTTCAGTTGTTTATTTAGCTGGAAAAATAAAATCTTTTCAGCATTGAGGTTTAACTAGTATTGGAGCCTCAGATCTAGGACGCATTAATGCTATCAAATAATGTAAGTATAATCAGTATCCAAACACCTGCATTCACATGCAACAGAAACGCCGTGTACTCATATTCATGTTAACTGTAACTAAAGTATATCGATTAAGTTGATGTATAAGACTTCTCAGAACTGAACGATTACACATATACAAGCAGCTTTAAGTGGTGTACATACCCAGAGGAGACCAGTACTATGACGAAGATGTTAAAGTAAGATAGTAATCACTCATAAACTTCCCTACAAGATATGCTAACAATGCTACTAACATTTATACATTACTTATCAAAGTACTGGTATTTTTAATATCATCTCAGATACACACCATTTAGCGACGAAAAATACTCAACAGTATAAAAAATAAACAAGAACTGAAAGTGTCTGTTAGTGATTTTACGGTCATAGTGCAAATCAAGACCGTATATCTACTTGGCAACAATAGTGGGGGTGAGGCTAAAAGTTATCCTCAAATATTATCGTCCTCGCGATAGATTGTAATGTTGTTTGTAAAAATACAAACACTTTCTGTGTTCTCTATAAATATTTTATCTAACTGTGTAGTTTTCACAATCCCACCTGTCATTGAAACATGTTTTAAACCGTTTATTCATGTGCAAAGTGTTGGCTACACCTGCATTTCTTAGGTGGAAAGTAATTACATTTATTCAGGATGAATGATACTCACAGATCACAGTGAGTAAGTTGAGGCTTCAAATTACATTCGAAAGGATTTATGATTGTATTTTTCACTTGAGAATATAAGTATACACAACACACAAAATATATATTTACAGGCAGAATGCTATAACACTTGGGGATAACTGTTAGTCGTACCCATGTATGCGTGCCCCAACCCTATAAACGTAGTGCTAACAATCTAGATCACCTTTCGACTATTTCATATTTTTAAAAATCTCTCAATTTTACATTTGATTCAATGTTCAAGGATTGTACACTTGAATGTTTGATGAAAGATTGAGGATATAACCAATTAATTATGAGGCCACCTACGCATGAGGCGCTGATAACATTCAATAATTAGTTTTATATTATGAATATCAAGTTCTACATTAAATGACGATTTAATTATGATGCAAGAAACCTAAAATAAGAAAACCAGTAGGATATTTCAATATAAAATACATTTTTTCATAAAAAAATACACATATAAGTGCATCATAAAAACATTCATAAGTATAGAAAAAGAGATGATTACATTTTTCATTATTAAAAATATTCATTTTGAAAAAGACAACACAGCATATACATTGTGTTTTGTTTAAATAGATGAAAAAAAAAAAAAGAAAAAGTAAGTAACACTAACAACTATAAATAGAAAATAAATGCATCTTAGTTGGCTTCATATTCATCCGTATCATAATTGAGATACTAACAATAATGATAAGAAAAGTAAACACTCTAAGAGACTCTATGAAAATATTTATCTAAAGTTCCACAAGTTGAGTTGTGTGATTTCTTTGACTTTTTAGTTTGTTTGGGTTGTTGTTGTTGTTGTTGCTCAGATTTGGCTTTAAATGAAGATATTTTGTTCGAAAGTGAATTTTCTATTTGATGAATATTATTACTACTATCGACTGGTGTTGATTTCACCAACTCAACAACTGAAGTAGCTTCATTTTTCCATTCATGTTGTATACGCTGTGCAATATGAAAGTCTTCATGTTCAGGTATCTGCCATACAGATACACGAGAATTACACTTTTCACAAATAATCCAGTCACCAACTGAATATGATGTGAAAAAGTTAGTCGAATCTGAAGTTGATGAATGACGTGATTCTGAATCAACTTCTATGCATGGAGATTCATTTACTACAGAATGTTCACTTTCAAATAATCCAGGACGTTGTAGACAATCTATAAAATTTGAATGAATTTCATTCTGAATTTCTGTTGGCCTCTGAGTTAATAATGAATGACTATTATCAATTAATGTAACTGGATGAAGTGGAGCAGAAATTTCAGCAACTCGTAAACGTTTGAAAAAAGACGTACAACTATTACGACCATCAATAGAAGTATTATCAAAATTACGTTTTTTCTCAGATGAACTACTACAAGAATTATTTTTATCATCAGTACAGGTTACTACAACACATGATGAAGATATCGATGAAGTGTTCTCAAGTGGAAGCGATGAAATAGATTGCTCTTGTACTACAGTATTTAGTTTTGGAGATTCTTCCTGTTTCTTTTGTAATAAATATCGGATATCAGCGTTCGAAACAGATGGATCGGCAGCAAACTTCCCAGCTGACAGTCCTAAGCAAGTTATGCCTGGATCCCTAAAAAACAATTATCAGTGATAATATCTGAAAGAATAGTGCTTACATTTTGAAAAAAAATAATGACAATTGATAAACACCTGTAGAATATATAACACTACTGATCGAAATGATTGGTCCAGGATCAAACACCCTAATCAATAAATCTTTGTTAAGCAATCATCTCAGGCTCACTTAGTCACAAAATTTTGCTTACTGGTTGAATCTTTACAGTAGAATTTCCCCGCATACAGCTTAACAAATAGACAACATAATACTAACAGTAGTAACTCTAGATCAACTACGATATTCACTAAATAAAAACAGTATGAGTACTAATTATGCATCTGTCATTAGGTAGCAGAATTAGTCCACCCTATAAAGATGTGATACAGAAACCAATGAAAAAAGAGTAAGGCCGACTTATAAAAAGCTATCAACACTTTTTGCTAACTAGCTGATAAGAATAAGATATTGAAGTCAAATTTATCTAATGCAGAGATGATAAGATTCTAAAACATTAATAACGATAAACAAAGAGAAAAGTCACTGAGAGAAAGCGAATAAGAACTTAGTGACACCCAATCAATTTGAACAATGCAAAAACACGTGTGCTTGTGGAAGCAAGCACATAGAACGAACCAAAAGAAGGGCATCTATTCAATTTTATGAACATATTCCGAGATATCTGTGTCTGAATGGTGTCCTACTAGAAAGAGGACATCAAATAGATGTTTCTCAATCATTCAGGATAATTAATCAACAAAGAACACCATGCTTATTATAGTTTGTGGAAGCTGTTACTATCAAACATTTTCAACCTGACCTATGTACTCAGAGACTGTAAGTAACCTCTTCTTACCCTGGTAATTGTATATAATTTTTCGCATTTGCATGTATATAGCCTTCCATTTTCTTTTGATTGCATCATCTCTTTATTAATTACTTACCGACTGTTAATCACTTAATGACTTCACAGTTTTTCATGTAACTACGTAACCAATTAGCTCTTAAACAGTCCCTTCTCTCACACTGATTTTCGTTTGCTGTTGCTACCCCCACTCCACAGCTCCAGAATTTCCTATCTCATCACAACAAGGCACTACTGCGTAACGATCCGAGTTGCCACAGCTCATATCAGCACTCGAGTAACAAGGCAACAAAATGGAAGATGAAGAAGGAAAGAAAAATTGGTCAAAGGAAGTAGAAGTAGAAAGTAGTGAAGAGAAGAAGGAAGGATGAGAAGATAATGAGACTAAGTATAGCGGTTAACGTGAGGATAATATATGTATGCATCTGCGCCACTGACATCACTTCTGAGTCATATCACCTAAAGTCTCCAACCACTTGAAGTATGACCAAAAAGACATAATAATTGTAAGTAGAACATGAGTTAGTCAAACTTACCAAACTTCTGGTGCTTCTCCTTTGAAAAATACTTCTTTTAAAGTGGCTAAGGCAGCACTGGCAAGTTTATCAGTTTGACTTGAACATTTATCTGGTTTAAGATTTGTATCACTAACATTACCATTTTCATCATCTGTATTATTTGTAGTAAGATTACTAAGATTTCGACTATTATAACCAACAAATTGGAGAAGATTTGACGGTAGTGTACGTGATATCCCACCACTATACGTGAATTATTTGTTGTACGAGCATAAAGAATCAATCGCGTTGGATAACGTTGATGCTGTTCAAGATCATCATCCAATCTTTCAAATAATTCTTCTGTTAAGCATAATAACCACCGTTTTATTTGTTCACTTGATGTAAGTGTTGCACGTCCAAGAAAATTTTTGCTACACCCTACAGATTGTGGAAGTGATCGAGAAGCAACCACTTCATGATCAATTCCACGAGATAAATCATGAAGCCAGTTTCTAAAATTAAAATTAATGTCATAATAAACTTTAACATAGTAATACTTTTTGATTATAGATGATAGCACAAGATTTGGTTACTAAATAGAAAATAAAAGGCGATAAAATTAAAACAATTAAAGACAGCAGTGCGACCAAAGAGATAATCTCTGTGAACTACATTCACCCCCTATTATTGGGGTTGAACACCACAAGTCTGTTTTTCATTCTTGTATAGGAATTATAGCTATTCAAGCAACTCTACAAAACCTGCACTAGACTTTATGTCACACCCAATGGGTGAAGGCTTATAATAATACTTGGTTATCTAGGGTAGGATTTACAACCCTGAACCCATCGCTTGAAATTCGGCTGCGTAAGATATTGAGCCGAACTTCACCATTATTACCATGATGTATCAACAACCACAGAGTATACACTATACCTGAAATTCTAACATATATTGTTAAGCTCTACTTCTCAGGTGAGCCGAATAAACTGATTAGGACTTACTGTAAATATTTTCCAAGTTTTGTGGTGTTACACAAAAGTGGTCACCAAGAATTATGACGTGGTCTCAGTCAATATGGTCTGAAATAAGCGAACAATGCAAACCGTAGCTCTTCGATTGATATACACCAAGTAAATAATACTGCATCACTATGCGCTATATATCCAATAAGCAAATCTAATATGGGATGTACACCAAGGCCTATACTGCTCACTTAAACCATACAAAAACTAGCTTTTATTGATGTATTCCTTAGTAGTAAGGTGGAATAAAACCCAGAGCGATGATAATGAATAACTGACGACTGATAAGAATCTAACGCACACGTATATAACTGTAACCAATTTAGAATCACATCAGCAATTTGTTTCGTTTGTACCTTTCCCTTGGTTTATCCTAGTCTAATTTGGTAGGCATGTCTGAGTGATTTCAGTTCATCTTCGAAACAAATAGCTTTAAAAATATGCGGGTTCTTCCCGTCATGAGAATATTTTGCAGTCAAAAGATTTCTGATGAGCTTTTAGAAAAGTTGCCGATTAAAAAAAGGATCACTTTGCGAACATATTACTTTTCTAATTGGCAGAAGAGGCAGCGAAGACAGGACTCCAGGTGAATGCAGAGAAAACAGAGGTGATGACGATACCCAACAAACCAACAACAACATCAACAGCAAGCATCAATCACCACCAACGGGAGAAACCTAAGGGAAGTAGCCTCTTTCACTTACCTACCTAGACAGCATTGTTTCAACTAAGGGCGGCAGCGGCGGCACGAATGAGGATGTCAAAGCCAGCCAGGATCGGAAAGACAGCAAGACAGGCCTTCATCAATCTGAAATCAGTGTGGAGATCTACTACACTCAGCATAAAGCATGAACAAAATCCGGATTTTCAACACCAACATCAAGTCAGTGCTTCTATGTGACGGTTCATAGACTTGGCACGTTACGAAGAGCATTTTCAACAAACTAAAGACATACACCAACAGCTGCCACCAACGCTCCATACTGAAGACTAGATGGCCAGAAAGAATAAGCAACAAGGAACTCTGGTTGGCAACGAACCAACCAAGAACCTATCGCCAAACAAATATACAGAAGAAAGTGGAGATGGATTGGCCATGCACTGAGAAGACCATTCGGAGACATCACGCGCCAGGGGCAAGGCCCTCGAGTGCAACCCAAAGGGGAAACGACGAGTTAGGTGACCGAAGGTGACATGGAGGAGATCATGTGAGGAATGAATGAAAGCTTCTGGGTAGTCGCGGAGCCAGGTTAGAAAGACTGCAGAGAAGAGAGTGAAATGGCGACGTGCTACTGAAGCCCTATTTCCCACTAGGAACTCAAGAGACAAATAATAATAATAATAAAATTGTGACATGCTTAATATTCTGTCAGAATAAAATGCCATAGTAACTGTAGGCATATGTTTACCATCGGATTAATCGTCATGACTTCCCTCAAAATTAAAACCCTAGTTAGTGAACGACGAGTTAAGTAACTATAGTACCAAAACATTCCCCGTAAACTTTTAAAAAACTAATATTCACAATTTTTAACAATGTTTGGATAAGAACTTACGCTGTTTTCTCACCAAATTCCTTTGTAAGAATAGATATTGGGATCGAGCTCAACTGACCAAGTGTTTCGATATTGAACTGTTTAATAACTGCCTTTCCTAATTTGCCACCTAAATTTCGTCTTCAAGAAAACATTATCTAATAAATACACTTCATTATAACCGGTTAATAACAGTAAAAGATCATTCTAACGATGAATTTACAAAGATACTATAGTTATCAGAAATACCATATGAGATTGTTAAGTGAGTGTAAGACATAATACAGCGGTCTCTATTGTGTGACCTGATGAAAAGTACAGAATTCCAGTTTATAAAGGAGATGACATTTTGCGATGAAATCAATGAGTTTGTAATGGCGAAGCTGTAATAATCCAGTATGCGAGTCAGTGGTCAAGTTGTTGCAAAACAAGATTACATCCCAGAATGTCTTAACGATAAGTGATATTATTTTACTGTTTATCCTTTTGCTAAATTACTCGATTTCTCCGACTGCAATAAATTCGATAATAATCAGACCACTTAAAATTGTCTAATTATCTATTTCATGAATGTCACAAGCGATGCTACAAATGTGATGTATTCTTTTGTCCGTTACCAGTTAACTTAGTGACTAATAAACCCGTTAGTGTTTGTCACTTGATGATGTTTGAGGCTGAAGACCAATTGTTGTATTCGACAACCACCTCACAAAAGAACAGTTCAAGACCATTTACTAAGTCACGAAGTACACCAGTTGTGTGATGGTTTATGATATAGCCTGGCTATTCTCAAATCTCAACATGTGGCGCTGGGTTTCAACGCTAGTAGATTCGCAACTAAATACTTCAAGAAAGTAAAGATTATGAGGTACAGAATGGTAAAATTATGCTTTGTCCCATCTTTTTTATAACGAAACAGTTTGTCATCAAAGCATTTTCAATAAAATCACGAGAAAGTTAGCAGAACTTTGATGGCGTCTTTCGTATTTACTCACGGATCATATATTTTCCCAAAACTTCTCCATCTCCCACCCTATTTTATGCTAGTCATTTTATTACTAAGGTCTCTGCTCTCATTAAAGTTAACAATAATGTTCAATTTACTGACTTCAGTTTTTTGTCGAGTAAGCAAAACTATGTTTTCGATTGTTCTTCGCAAGCCTAGATACTAACAGCTTCCCAAACAAACTTTCATCTTCTCTTTTTGTATTATAAGTGGTGACTTTTAGACTTCATATCCTTCCATCATTCATTTTTTACACATGATGTATACTCCAGCCACACATAAACAACACTTGCTATGCATACCACCAATATTCTCCAAAGATTCCCACACCAAACTAGGCAGGTTATTATAAAAATACTTCGTTGACAACATCTCTTTATATCACAGTTCCATGGAACTATCAACCGCATAACTTCGTCAATGAGAACATTATTTCAGTACTCCGATGAATAATGCTACCAACACCAATGAAGTGTGAATACGAAAACTGACAAGTCAAGTCATAACCAGGTACCAGAAATAAATAAAAAGAAGAAATCAAGACAAAACGAGTTAAACTTATAAAGAGGATCCAAAAAGAAGTATAATCTAATGAAATGATTCAATAAATAACAACCTTGACCCACAGAACAATTTTCATTGCTTAAGTATTCCCAAAAACAATTGAGTAATACCTTATGATAAAGAAACAGTAAACTAAAATCAATAATAACAACAAAAGTGATAGTAAAAATGGCATTACTTACATTTTATTGATATGAGTATTTCCAAGGAGAACAGGAATCGACTCACGTGGAATCAATGTTTGCTTATTTGGTTTATTTAAACTACATGCCAGTTTTGCAATGGACTTCAAAAATAAGAAATAATAAAAGTATTCTCATTAATAATTAGATTGATGAGGAGATACAGAGAGTGAAAACTAGTTACATATTATTAACCTCTATCAGCACGTGTTTATTCAGAATAGAAGTACAAGAAATTAGAACGGTGCGCTAAGCGATTCGTAAAGTCAACACTTTAAACGTTCTGTAGACAGAAAGCGAAACAAAAATCAGCTAAGAATTTAATCAAATCCATTCTCACCGATGAAGATAAATATCAAAGTGAAATTACCAAGGTGAATTATTTCAGAACTTTGATCAGATTACAAACTTCATTTATTCCACACTTATACTGATATTTCTGTCTGAAATTAGCTCGAAAAGCTACTTACCGTAAAACCGAATAGATGGAAATATTATTATCTGAATGGACATAACATTTATGCGCTGGAAACAATCGAACAATCACTTAAATATCGACTTAGAATGAATGAATTTCTGAATGAAAGAATTGTTCCTACAGTACGCCAATTTACTTCGTGACAATGAAAACAACCCGATATATGCTCTGAAACAATCGAAGTAAATCCTCAAATAATTTCTACAAATTTGAATTAAAAATTGAAACGCACTCAGCAACCTTGTGCACATTCGTGTAGTAGGCAATGAGCTATAAATATTGGGTGATAGCTGATGATATCACCTGATTGCTCAAACCTCGGTAGGTGGCGCAGTGTCTGCACACACAAATTAATTTCAATCCAGTTACTGACAATAAGAAAATATTTACACATGACTTACTTTATTTGGACCAATTCCAGCAGAACACTTAAAGCCCGTCTTCTTAAAGATAGCCTGCCGAATGTTGTATACTAGTTCAGAAGCCACAGCCAATCGTCTTCCCTCTTCAAAGTTAGAGTCCAATAATTTAATCCACTCAACACCAGTAAGTGGAAGGCAATTAGTTTCAGTGAGGTCTAACTGAAACTGCTCGGCGATATCGCTGTTAGCTACCACAAATGATTCTAAATTGGGTTTCAACGATGACAAATTCTCATCTTCCATTAAAGTTGAATCCACAATATCTGTTACGGATCTAAGGTTGTTAACTTATCGACTCACCAGTCAGGTCAACGTACGCCTCATCGATACTAGCTCTTTCAATATCCTTGGTAAATTCAGATATACAGTGAATGACTTCAGACCCAGCAACACGATATCTGCAAAAGATATTGTTCACAGAAATCGAAATTTAAACATTACTTGGTCAGTTCTGCTTTACCTCGTTTTTCTGGAACCTTGAACATGATAATGTCTGGATATTGAGCACGAATTATGTCCCCAAACATCCCACGCTTGATACCTAGAGCTCGTGCTTCATAACTAACCGCAAGGGCTCTAAAAATAAAAATAAAATAAAGCGATGCTCTAACCCTCCTCCTTTCCATTCATTATACTGAACGACAACACAAGGTTTCCCTCTAGTCTCTGGACGTTCCCGCTGTTCAACCTGAACATAAAAGCAGTCCATATCGAGTAACATAACGATTCTACTCGTCCCCATACCTCAAATATTCGCTCTGAAAGGCGAAAGAGAATGAATAATCGATATCATTTACACAAGTGTTTGCGTTAACCAATGGCAATAAGATAGTACATATCCTAGCACATAATTTGAACAAATTACATCACAACTTTCTCAGTTACTGATAGTTGTAACGTTGACATGATGGCCAGGATTGTATATCACAATGATGTGGCGAGTTATGCTGGTAAGAACATTTCCGCTTGAGGTCCTACCATATCAGGAAAGTTTGATGAGTAGTGGTTAGATAAAAAGCAGTTACGGCAACAGTGTAAATACCTTACGCTACGGTGGGAGACCAAGGTCGAAGTCATACTTCTGACTAGATGGGATGTGAAAGCGGTAAGGTGTTCCTAGTGGATAAGCTGTATTCTATGCTGATGCCACCTCCCTTATCGAAAGGAGGTTCAGAAAACGCCGGTCCCAAAAAAGCACACTTCCATCTGCGCTGAGGTCTTCTGGTATGAGCGATATAAGTTTTCAAAACGGACACAAATCAATCTGACTTAAATCCTAAACTTCTAAAAAGGCGAGTTGTGACTTGTCACAAGCAGATGTTCCTTGGGCTCTACGGCCATGTACCACTGTTACTAGCACCATTTCCTTTCCAAGAACTTTAGGAAGAGGTAGAAGGTTCCCCTCCCATGACATGGGTAGCCGGTAATTGTCAAGTCCCCTCATAATTCTGTAAGAGCTTAAGTCAGCTCAGATTACTATCAATCTTTAAAAAATTGTGCCAAATTAATTATCAGATGTCTGAATAAAGCCCTGGAACGGCGAACGTGAGGAAATCAAAGAGGCTTCGAACGTGGCTTTAGATTTATGAGCCAGATATTCACCCACTGTCACAGTCTGGAACGGACACAAACATATCTCTTGTCTTGAAGGTGGCTCTCCACTTTGTCGATCATGAAGCCTTACGGTAGTGTCTCTCACTAAAACAGGTGCCGAGAAAGCACACTAGGCTGTTTAAGACTCCAACACTCGTAGGCGTCTTAGAGCTTACGGTCAGTTGTCTACGTCGAGTGGTGTTCGTCAAGGATGCCCATTCCCTCTATTTGTATTCAACTTCATCATAGACATACTTGTGAAGATCTTTTGATTGTCTGACTACAAACTAATATTATCATAGGAGAACGCTAAGTAGACCTAGATTATGCAAATGATTTCGTCCCGTTAGATGAGGATGCTAACAAGATGCAGAGTCTTTTAGACACCATGAGTGGCGATTTTAGAATGCTCGGAAAGCATTTCTCACCACACAAATGAAAATTATTGCTCTAGGATCGGTCTTTAGTAGTACCCTATCTAACAATAGACAAATGCTTGAGCCCACTGAACATTTCACGTAATTAGGGAGTTATATCAGTCCTGGTGGGTCAGTGACCAACGAAATCTCTGCATAGCTACAAAAGGCTGCTTGGCTATCGCATACTTACACCATATGTGGTGTAGCCATGACAAACGATTGCCTATCAAGGCCTAAGAAAATTAGAGTCGGTCAGACTAGAACATGTTATCAATCAATGAAGTCTTTGATTGTTGATCTAAGCCATGTAGGGAAATGTCCACTTGCTGATTGGGGTCCGTGATACAACACAAACCACTTGTTGCAGACTTTAAGCGAAATTGCTCAGAATCAATCTTAGTGGTGTCGGCATATTCACACAATATCTTTGTCTCACTCATCATACCAAATTATATCACAGTATCATTCCTTCTTGTTATCTTTTTACGACTTCCTACCACTTTTGACTTTCTTCCTTATTTTTCCACCTCTCATTTTGATGTCTAGCACCTTGATATACGGATATGGTCTGACAAGTTGACAGATACTGAGTAATGGCAGGTTTCATGTCAATGTTGACTGACTGATTGGTGAGAGCATTGTGTTCTAGCAATGAGAAAATTTATATAATACTTAAAACTTGACAAGCTCTTTATTGGAACTAAGGTTTTAGCACAGCCTGCCTACCTAAGTCTGCGGAACCACAGCCGTCGCATGAGAAATGACGACGATGCATGGTTTTGCTAACCCAGTTCCGCCGAGTTCAAACCAGTCACCTACCGACTGAAAGTCGAGTTCTTAATCCAGTGAAAAACTTCTTTCAAGCCCCAAACATACGTACATTACTAAAAGTTCTCATACCAAGTAGTTTCAATATTTAGCATTTGGGACACCACAATTGTTACACAAAATTATTTCTTTTTTAACCAATAATGCTGCAGACATTCCACTGTAAAAAGTGCCATGATAAGTTTGTTTGATGAGTTATGAAATAGTATGCACTTTTTATAGTCTTTGGTCAGCAATCATGCTGTCAACACATTTTATGCGGTAGTTGAGGCATATCAGCTGATTTTTACGACAAGCTCTATTTCCATGTTTACTTGTTTAATGCATCACGGTGAAATGTGTCAACACGGTGCACTCCCTAACACTTCCACAAGCATCCGCAGCTGTTTATCATGGAGACGATGCTATTTGGCCTACTCACGTGGCTTTCAATTACAGCACCGACGATATCAAGGATTTTATCTACAGGGTCACTATTTGTAGTCCAAAAGTAGTGGTAGTAGTAAGCAATATTGCTTAGAAATACAGCAGAATACAGATATTAGGGAATTTCAGGGAAAAACGTGGACTGAAAAAGACAAAGACCAACTGCTGAACTTCCTGAAAGACCTAGTATTACTCATACGTTAAAATATCGCCACTCTTTCCCACTAAATTCCGCCCATATGTTTTAGTGGGACTGTCACACATGTATATGCACTTGTTATGACTATTAATTCAAATAATAGTACCAACCAATAATACTTTGCACGAAAACTGCCATTATACATCCAAAAGACCAACCTCAAGAAAAGAAAAGCACAAAACATTTCATATTGCCACAAAGTCCATGTTCAAAAGATACAATAAGGCCACCTCACTGTCCAATATCCAATATCTTGTTACGAGCTAGTGTTACCCAATTGCTTTCTTCGCCTTCGCTTCTAGGTCTTGCGGAATGGTTCCAGATCATTGCTGGATACTGATGCAGTAGGTTCAACCACTCGACTGCTGTAGCCCTGGTTAGCTCAACGGGCAGTTCTAATATCCAATATTGATAGTGCGAGCGTAGAAAACTGGTAGTTCTTGATCTCTCGCGTCTAGTTTTTAGGGCTTGGTTCGAGTTGTTCAGTTCACTCCTGCAGTGGGCGAGGAAATCCCCTCTGCTTTCTTGCTTTTAGCTTCGGTGAGGTGGATGTTTTGTGGGTTAGTAGGTTGTAATTTGTAGAGTGATTAGGGAGCTACGGGTTGCTGGGAAGTTTAGAGAACTGCCGTAACTCCTTTTTGTGTAAGTACCTAAAAAATAATATTAAAGCAGTGGTGAAGGAATGAAGAGAGAATAAAGAAAAAATAAAAAAATGAAAAAAAGAGAGGAAAAAAATAATAATATAGGGAAGAGAAAAGGGAAAGAGAAGAAAAGGAGGGGTGAACAGAGAACGAAAGAAAAGTATTTGAGAATTGCCCGAATAGTCGCGTGGGTTTGGTTCCTACAGAAGAATTAGTAGGTAATTTGGGTGTATTAAGGAGGGAGATAGTGAGTGGTAGTTAGGAGGGAGTTGTGGGATACTGAGGTTGGTGACTACCTGAGTACGTCCGTGGTAAGCCACGCGAGATGACATAACTGTCTAATCGCCTCTTGAAAGAGTCGACTGAAGTAGCCATAATGATGTGTCGCGGTAAGGCATTCCATAAAGCACTTACTCTTAGGGAGAAAAATTTGGACCTGAGTAGGCGTTGGCTCTCTGGTGTGCTATCTTAATCGGTATTGGTTAAATTTGTAGGGAGTGATGTATGTTTTTTTCTTCTTCCAAGAACTGTGGTGCGGATGGGTTTTCAGGATTTGTCTTGGTGCGAACTTGACAGACGCAAAGACCAGTCACTAATTATTCGGACTTGTTATATACCCATGAACACAAGACCGCGAAAGAACACAATAGCGTAGTCGGATGGAATAGTGTATTTGCAAGGTCATGCCAAGATACCGATGCGTTCTAACTAACTGACTAGAGAGTCGAATACGAGCAGTGCAACGTAACACGACAGCGTGCCAAATGACGAGGATGCTTGATCGGGTGCCTCGTCAAACCCTAGGCTATTGATTTTGGGGGGTGTGTGACACTTCAGGTTTGTCTTTATTTGAAAAATGTAATAAAGCCCGCTAGCAAGTTATTGATCTCATAGCGTTCCAACTAACTGGCTAGAGAGTCGAATACGAGCAGTGCAACGTAACACGACAGCCTGCCAAATGGCGAGGATGCTTGACCAGGTGCCTTTGGCTTATCGAGTCCAGTTAAACTATCAAGGTCAGCATCAATGTCGAAAGTCGTCAAACCCTGGGCTATTGATTTGGGAGAGTGTGCGGCGCTACAGATCACTCCCCCCCAGCGGGTTCGTGAGGACCCTAAGTCGATAGTAAAAATCCAATGGTTTCTTCAATGGTGAAACTCTTCCGATGGGCTCACTGCGTGAGGTGGCCCCTGGTCGTCTGAACTTCTTCTAGGGTGTCGTGGCAATTAAAAAAGAAAATACAATAAATCGAATTGGACGTCGATTGCAATCCTTAGTTTTCTTCGACATTCCATCCAGTGCTCGTTGCAAATGGAATACAAATGGAAACCTTTAATACCATGAAAACGCTCCGTAAAAATGGGAATTATGTATGTACAAATATATGGAAAATGAAGTGAACGCTTATTTTCACCGTTTTTTTAAAAGTTTCACTACATGGTGATAAAGGGCTTTTCGTGTGTCGCGTGACTTTACACTTTTGACAAGCTAAGCACGACTGGGCCCACTCCTTAACGTCTTTGTTCATCCCAGGCCAGCAGAAACGTTGTGCGATAAGCCTAATGGTGGCTCGTACACCTGGATGAGAGAGTTTGTGCAACGTATTGAAGACGTTGCGTCGACAACTCTTCGGAAC